GACGTCGATTCATTCGTTGTGTGGGACAAATTCGCAGGTGCAAACGGAGGCAAGGTCTTTAATTGTTCAATGAATGACTGATTGGCGATTTTTTTAATTTGATGCATCAAATTTGGATTGTTTGTTAGAGTTTGAATTTGCTCCAATGCTGATGGATTACTTGCTAATTCTCGTAAGTGCTCAAGAGCTTTTTGCGTGTCTGTATTGATGTGCATAGACATTTTCGATGGGCTGGATACTGTTAAACAATCCGATGATGAGAGAGGAGATGAAGTTGGTGATTGTGTAGAAGAAAGAAGTTTCAAATTAGTGAAATGAAGATTCATTTCATCTAAATTGGCTTGATTATCATGTAAATGTTGTTCTAGTCGGCGATCGAATTTAGTTAACTGTCGATTGAAAGACTTTTTCGTTTTATGCTGATATTGACTGTGGTGGGAGGTCGGCAGATTGGATTTATTGGATAGACGAAGATTAGTCGATGTTGAAGAGTTCAATTCGGTCGTTGGTGATGAGAAAAAGTTAATAGTTTGTGGTAGAAGGGACAATGGCAGGTTGGTAGAAAGTTGCTCGTCGTGTTTAGCCGCTGATGACGATGAAGAAGTCGCTGATGATGAACTGGACGTTGACGACGATGATGTTGTTCGTTTCTTTTTACCTGTGGTTGCTGTTGAAGAAGAAGAGGAAGAAGACGAAGGTAGAGTTGGATTAGATAAAACGTATTCATTAACATGTTGTCGATATTCTTGATTGATTTTCAAATGTTGTTGAGCCTTATCATGTAGTTCTTTTTCAACATGTTGAAGTTGCTCTACAGAATTCAATACCTAGAATCATTTGATCAGAGAACAGTATAGATTTACCGAGTATCTGAAGTTTCTTTGCTTGTTGAATGTTAATCACTTCGGGATTCGGATTGGTAGATGTTGATACCGGTTGACATTTGTCATCGATTAGGTGTGGCGATGATGATCGAATATTGTTCGTCGACCATGATTGTGTGGAATTATCTAAAGAGAAAACTTTCGTCAAAATCAAATATTAGTTCACTGTATAATTATGCAAACCTTTTGTTTCATTATCAGTGTGTAATTTGATTGATTCATTGACGCCAGTTTGAAGAACATCAAGAATATTTCTTGGAACTATTTTTTGCAAACTTTTAAGTAATTGAATAGATGAGTTGGGCGTTTGAGAAGATTGTTTATTATCTCCTAACGGATTCAATCGCAATGAAACTTGGAAGAAGATTGTCAAAAATACAAACCTGATACAGAATTTGGTGTGACTGATGTTGAACCATCTTCTTCTCCTTCTCCATTATCTATACTCGTCAAAGGTTCAATCGAATTTATCGTACTTGTTCGTTGTGTAACACTTTTAGGATATTCAAGTAACAACTTTACTATTTCTGTATGACCACCCTTCGCGGCTTCAATCAAGCAATTCGATCGATCCTAACAGATGAATTTCTAGGTTCGAATTGTCTCTTCTCATTTGCAAACTTTACTTTAAGAAGATGATTGGGATCAGAACCATGTTTCAGTAAAAGAGCAGTTACTTCTAGATGACCACCGGCACATGCCAATGAAAGAACAGTTGAATCATTACTATTTGTCGATCGATTAACATCCGCTCCTATGATGAACGAAATCGATAAGATGAAAGCGAAATGGTGCTTTCCTTACCTTTCGAAATCAAATATCGTACTGTACATGTATGTCCAGCTCGAACGGCTTTCATCAATGGTGTTCGTCCTTCATTTTCAGTTTGATCGATGTGTGCACCGGAATTGAGAAGAATCTCTGCTACTTCAGTACGTCCACTTTCACATGCATACGCCAAAGCTAAAATTTATTCATGCGTAAGTCGAAACAAGACGAAACAAACAGTAAATTACCAGTTTCTCCAGCTGATGTCGTTTGATTCACATCAGCATTATTTTGTATGAGATATTGGACTAATTCGGTATGACCTTCTTGAGATGCTTCCATTAGAGGAGTTGATTGACCTAAATTAACATTTGCACCATGGGATATAAGGATTTTTGCCACGTCCAAAAAGCCACCAGCACATGCTAATGTTACTAGAAAAAGTGCATCATTTTTTTTTAGAAAGTAACGTTCAATCGATCGATTTTAATGCATACATGCAGTCTCTTGTGTATCATCAGTTGTTCGGTTAACGTCAGCACCTAAACAACAACAACGAAATGATTACTTATGACGACGAAAAATCCATTCATCTCACCTCTTGAAACAAGTAAATTTACAAGATCATCGTGTCCTTCTCGACTAGCTGTGAACGTAGAACAAATGTGTCATCCTATAGATTCAATTATCGAAAGACTAACAAACCTTCCATTAATGGTGTGTATCCTTCATCATTTACTTCTTCCAAATTAGCACCTCGTTCAATCAATAACGAAGCTAATTCGATATGACCACCACATGCACTTAATGTCAGTGGACTTTCGTAACTATCTGGTGGCATATTAACGTCTGCACCATGATCAAGTAAGAGTTTGGCTACTTGAACATGACCATCCATACATGCTTCCATTAAAGCTAGACGATAAATATCAAAGTTTAGTTGTGCATGTTTCATTTACATAAGTAAAATTGCTAATTTCGAATATTTTGTTTTCATGATTCGTTGCATTTACCTGTATGCATCTCATCTGTTTTATGTTGTTTACTATCATTTCCATTTTCTATTAAGATAGAAATTAATGATTAATTTATAGGAACAAAAATTTCCTTTCGTACTATCTTTTGAGTCATTCGAATGTGTGTTCACACCAGCACCATGATCAAGTAATGCACGAGCAACTTCGACATGACCACCACTGGCTGCTTCCATCTAGAAATCAGAATTCGTTTCCAGTTCGCTCCAGTCGAAGTGCACTTTACCAGAGGAGTATGTCCGTTTTCATTCGTTTCTTCTACTTTAGCACCATGTTCAAGTAGAAGTCGAACGATGTCCGCATAACCCTACAAACAGCCATTTTTTTATCGGTTACTTTTCCAAATTCTCTTCACTTCTTACTCCTCCTGCTGAATAATGTAGTGCGGTATTTCCCGATGTTGATTGCATATTTACATTTGCATTATGTTGCAACAGAAGTTCAACAATCTCATAATGACCAGCATTACATGCTAGAAAAATCAAGAAGCAAATTTACAGCTTGTTTCGATCGATTGCTAACCTTCCATCAATGGCGTACAGTCTTGTTTTGTTCCTCGATCATCGATATCAATATCGGGTATAGTTGTGAGCAATAATCGGACGAGATCTGTATGTCCATTCGAACACGCAAGAGCTAAAACACTATCTCCATCTTCATTCACATCATTCAAATGTTCTTTTCCGTTGGTGGTTTGAAGAATTTTTTCAACAGTATGAATGTCATTATCGACGCAAGCACGAACAAATGCTTCAGATCTAAATTTAGGAGAAAAGCTATTTTAGACGAGATTGAAGTACCAAACGTACGTGTCTTTGCTTATCGATTTCGAACTTTTGTCTTGATGTGAACTGAGATTGGCAGCCGATGATGACATTGCATTGGCAATTTCATGTAAATCATTTAGATTATTTGTCACACTACTTGTCAGTAAACGTACAACCTGTTGGTCACGCCAGAAATCTTCTGGAATTGGAGAATTCGTTATACCGGTAGCTTCAAGGATAGCAGCTAGTTTTGCTTGAGTATCAGGATCAATTAAATCAAGATCCATATCATCACTATTATGATTTGTATTATTTAATAATGTTGTTCGCGAATGATTTGCAAATCGTTGATCATCGTCGTCATCATCTTCTTCATCACTAGTTTCGATCTAAAGAGTCGTAGGATTTTATGTTTGATTCTGTTCAATCGATTGAACCAATTTAGTCTTACGATTTCATTATCATCGTCATCATCAGTTAACATGCCGTGATCGTGATGCTGAAAACGTGTTAGACCAACAGATAGAATTGAAACGTCAGTTAAATCGAGTGGAGTATCTTGATTGGAAGTTCGTATTAGTGATGCTCGTAATGATGGATCGGTTATCGATGTTGTTGTTCGAGAATTATTGCCTTTTATAGGCAAAGAACCATTGTTCATGCTAAAATATTGAGTAGAAATTCTATTGATTGCTTTGTTTATTTATCATAAAACGAACAAACGTGTTGCAAAAGAAAAACCAGTGCACAACAACTCAAATTATAATCACTAGAAGAAGGTCAGATATTTGTTCAATCATTCTAATGCCAATCGTTTGGACGGCCCAATAACAAGAGAGAGAGACAGAGACATAGGAATGGTATAGAAGATAGAACGAGACGAAGACAGAGAGAGATGAGATACACACAAACAGAAGGAACGAAACGAAGGAAGGAGGGCAGGCAGAGCAGCGCAGGGCACCATTTACCAATACTGTATGATATAATTTGGATTCAGACATGCCTTTTTTCAACCATTGACATATTCCTTGAAGAGTGTGATTAGCCATACAGAATTAAACTCAAAACGCTCGACAGAGAACCAGCAGACGGAATGATTTTACGAACAATTTGCTGAATATTCTTAGAAACTAAAATAATTCAGATAGATGTCGCACCTTATTAGTAATAGCATAAACGTGTGTTCGTTCAGCGTTTCAGCGTCGTATAAAACATATCATTAGGTTTTAGACGATGACCAACTGCTTCTCATTGTTTCTCTTCATTCGGCCGCTCATCTTATATGCCTGTTCATACAAAACGATATACATATACATATAATCGAGTGTGTGTTTGCATAAGAACAATCAAATTCGTATCACGGTTACCAACTGTGGACTCATATAACGACGGTTGAACAAGAAAAGAGACTCGATATGCACACATAGGTTAAAAAAGAACGGAGCATCGGGTGAAATGTAAAGACAACCATACATCAACCGCTGAACTCGACTGACAAACACATTTTAGAACCACTTCAAAACCCTTTTGTCATCAAAACAACAACTATGCAGTTCAATGATGAGAATGATGGTTTCTGTCGTCAACTGACACTCACAGATGTTGATCGAGCTTTATATGCATTACAAGTTAATCCAGTCTTAGTTGAAAAACACTCCAATTCCAGCTTCAGCTCAGAATCATCAACAATATCAAATAAACAAGAAGGTGAGCCACATGAACTCTGCTTTGCCCGATGACTGATCTGTCTTGTCCTTATTTTGCAAATAGAATGCGGTTGTTGTCGTCTTCGTCAATCGAATAATTCTTCTCGTTCATTTCTACCATTAGCACGTCGTGGTCGTCCCTATTTCTCCAGTCGATCTCGTCGTTCACTGTGTACCAATTGTACCGAAATCAAACGGCAACAACAACTTAACATTCTACCAGCTCTTTTCCAACTTCATTCCAATCAAACATTTCAACTGACAATCAATATGAACCTGTCGTCGGATGAGCAGAATGCTCTGAACGACAATCAATATCTATCCAGCCACGTACTCGTTTGGAATATCAGCTCATCTGACGGAAATTCATCAGTTCATCTGACTTGTGATACTGACTCACTGGGTGAATCGGAAAAGAAAGCACTCATCCACGAAACTGTCCGGAAACTGCGACTCATTCTCACCAATCGATCAACAACAAACACTGACCAGTTCGAATTCACTTATCAAACATTACAGACAGCACTGAACATCCTCTCGTCTTCATCACACAGTTCGAGTTCAAATTTATTGTAAAATCAGCCACTAAAAACCACCAAGAAGAAGAAGAAGAAGAAGGTGACGAACAAGAATATCGGATCGGGTCATATTGCACAATGAAGTATTGTTAATAATAGCAAGGAAAACGAGAGAAAATACTTGTCAGGAGCGTGATAATGCATGTGAGCTGTATTGAATCCAATTTGAAATATACAAGTAGCAAAAAAAAGTGTATCTTGAGAGTTTTATAATGTCTTTATAGATATAGTTTTGCTCGACATGGTAAGAGATATCATTCTTGAAGCAAGATTATTCTTTTGTTCTAAAATTCTTGTATGATTTTTGTGACGTTATGAGGCTCTTTTTTGTATGGATACCATGCTTTTGCGAATTATCTTCATATTTATTCACGATTTGAATGATATACTGAAGAATAAATCCTAGAACTCGAATACGCTATGAAGATCATATGTACAACATCTGGGTATAGATGCAAATTTGTTCACTTATTGTCGAATATAAACGAATGTTGGACAGGTGCAAGTGCGAAATGTGATCGACTACCATCATGAAACAGTATCAAAGTATTAATGAATGTAGAATAGTTGTACGCCAGTATTTATATAATGTATTCAACGAAACTATCACGTGTCTGAATCTGAACTATACTGACAAATAACAATCGAAAGATATCGCACAACGATCTTTGCCGTTCCCCGATTAAACCTATTGTCATCCGAAATATAAGGTAGAGCGTTGAGTAGGATCTTTGTAGAATGTATACGATCCGCTTCGAGTGAGTTGGAAAGGATTTGATACAAAGGCATGACTTGTGATGGACATTGTGTTGTTTAGCGGAGAAGAAATATATTGCAGTACGTGTGGTTGACAGATAAAGCATTTTTCGTATGATCCTCCTTTCAGTCGATGGAGTTAATAAGAACTTATTTAACTTGATGAAGAAATTCGAAAGTATTATTTATGAGAATATTATATTGTGGATGTTGATCTTATCTTTTCAACAGTTTCACGGATATTTATCGAAAGAAAAATGATTTTCGAGAACAAAGTTCTAATGAAAAACTTTACAGTGCAGTTGATAATCGTCTTAAACCATTTTCATATCGATTTTCTCTCATATGATGGACGAAAATATAAAGAAATTTCTTTTCCATCAATATTATTCGTTTCGAATTACGTTTTTTCCTTATCCAAATCACGGATTCAAACATCCTGATGAAATTAATTTTCTAATAGAAAATAATATTAAATATCAATGATGACACAAGAAGATGTTTATTTATGTTCTGATTGAATTAAATTACGTCTGGGTTCACAACGTGAAGACTTTTTAATATTCTATTCATGTATGAAAGAAAATACAAGATTAATAGAAAAAACATTTTATGGTTATCCTCTTGATAATTCGTCATTCAACATCAATATAGTTCGTACAGCAAATAACGGATGGATTATGCAAGAGAAATGAATCCGAATTTCTATATCAATGCTGGATTATTCACAGAAAATATCTGCATTGATAATTGTTGTATAAATCAAATTGAAATGAATTCAATCATAAGAGAATCATATCGTGCATTTAATCTATGTAAATTTGACTTCATCTTTGAGTCAACCAAATTCAATTGGTTCATTTTTACAGTCACATGTTTTATCATTCTAATCACTAACAAAATTAACTTTACTATTTCATGATCAAACATATGATAATCCATCATTAATTGAAAGAAGATCAGCTGAAAATCTCCTTCCACGTTCAGCCTGTGTTTCGATGATAAAATTCTGCGATAGAATCGTATCATGTTTATGATGAACTAATTCCACATTATATTGATTTTGTTCATGAAACAAGATTTTATTCAAATAATCATTGACCAACTATCAAACGCCATCTTATTAATAACCCTCCATGATCCGGATAATCATCAGTCTGCATTATTAATTGCTCACACATCATTTTATCAATCAAATGAAAAGTGGGAATATATGAGTTCATTGACCCTTGTACTATCAGCCCTTCTTTTTTAGCTTATACTACTCATGATAATGTCCAGTAACGATATTCACCTATGACCATCTCATGCATCTGTAAATCACCTTTCAAAATGAAAAGACACCATTTCTAATGTCTTAAGTGTCCAACACACTATTGCCCCACTATATTCCCATACAGTCTCATTGACACGCATCATACACTCATACAGATTGCCACCCACACCCTTGTTGTTATCCATATTAGATAATTTATGTATAAGAAGTCAATGAATGTTTTAAATGTATCATTTATATATAATGAGTATATGAAGATAAGTAATTTATGAAAAAAAGTCGAAATTCATTTAAAATCCGTGAAAACGTTTTTATTAACGAAATGAACCAACATTTCTTCCAGTTCATAACTGAAACGAGAAGAAAATATTAATGTCTACGTGGTGTCATTTCATTAGTTTGCTACATTAAAGGAATTCCTATGTCAATGGATACAGGTAACACATCTTCTGCGATGTCAAGATTGGTTGGCCATTCAAGGCCAAGAGCATCAACGACGAAATTACGAGAAAATTGTTGACAGTTAACTGATGAACTCCATCGTTCTCCGCTTCGCATTACCATTTGTCCATAAACACCAGCCGCCTTAAATGTGAGGTAAATCTAACAAATAAGACGGATAAGATGGAGGCTTTACCAATAATGACAATAAATGCTGCTTTGAATGAGTATCTGTTTGTCGATTGATTACCAGTTTATGAACGTTAGCAGGAATCTAATATGTACATATATGTAGAGAATTGTTTTAAGGTGAAGAATAAAGTGGGCATACTCACGACATGGTTTGATAAATATGCTGGTAAATCATAGTCATTAACATATTTACTGCATTCCAATTTGCCGAGAATAATACTGTCGACACTGTGTCGATC